CAATTTAGTCAAGTATGGTCTTCAAACAATGTGCTGCTTTTAAAAATGAGTATTGACCCTGTCCTACATTATAAACAAAGAATAAATATAAACAAACAAACATAAATAAATAAACTGACATGGATTACAGAATTAAATGTGAAACATAAGACAGTAAAGTATCTAGGGGGGAAAAGCAGATTATCTTCATGACCTTGGAGTAGAGAAATATTTCTTAAATAAAACACAAAAGCATTAAAAAAGATTAACAAGTAATTCACACTCGGGCTTCATTAAAAATAAGTACTTTAGTTCATCAAAAGACACTGTTAAGAAAGTAAAAATATATAACAAAAATTGGAGAGAGATTTTTAGTATATGAGGAGCACTCTTCAGGAGAGTTATAACTAAAAGTCCAATATACATTTGAAAAGGTGTTCAGCAACATTAATCATCAGGGAAATGCAAATTAAAATCACAATGGGTATAAAATCTTATACCCATATCTAATGACTAAAATTAAACCGACTGCTGATGACCCCAAGTTTTGACAAGGATGTGAAGCAATGGGATGCTCACACATGAAAGATGACAGTAGAGTTGGAAAACAGCCCTTTACCTTCTACAGTTTAATATGCTTACACCCTATGAGTCAGAAAATCCATTTCTTAATATGTGGGTATATATGCTATCCTCAGTTTTGATGATTGCTTCCTATGCATGCTCTTATTTTAGTCATCAATAAAATGTTGAACACACATAAGGCCAAAATTTCACCAGGAAACATCACCCAGGTTGAAGGTATCCTACTAATTACCCAGTTGTTAACTCATCTAATTTTAGTATTAAGACCATATTTCTAAATATCATCCAAAGGGATTATATAAGTTACTCTCAGGTACCTTAACCAATCCAGATATAATGACTTATAAAAACCAAATCCCTTTTTATTCACATTTAGACAAATTTTTATATTGTGTGTGTGTTATGTTGATCTTTAATGCTTGAGTCAATAAAGACACTGCTCCCAAGAAGCTTTCAGTCTAGAGGGGAAAGCGAGCAATTACAACTAATGATTACCATAGACTATTATAAACATGATAGGCAATCAAGGTACTATGGAGGCCGAGAGTGTGTTTAGCTAAATAAGATGATCAGAATTAGGAAGTTTCCCAAAGGAAATAACAGGGTTTGAGTTGAGTTTGAGGTCATTAAAAAGTAGATGAAAATGTTAAATGTATGAGTGTGATGCTCTTAAGAAAGTTCTGGGCCATAGATGAAGGGATCAACAATAAATACTGGTATTTTTAGCCAAAGACTTGGACGAGACCATGAAGGTGGGAGTTAACTAAAAACAGAAGGAGAACATCGGCATTTTCAGTTAGGGAGAAAATACTTCTGGAGGTATGAAAGAGCAAGTGTGTATGAGACTTGACTTGCGTGTGGGTTGGGTTGAGGTGGGGGCTGGGATGGGAAGGTAGTACTGGAGGTGTCAGAGGACAGTTACCAAGAACTGTGGGTGCAGCCGAGAAATCAAGACCTTATTTAGAGTAATACAGAGTCCCTTCAATGACTCGAAGCATTAGAATGATTTGACTATATTGAAAATTCAGAAAACACATTCTAGGGTCAGTGTGAAATATGAATTGATGGAGGACGATAAGAAGCAGGGAGCCAAAGAGTTCAGCAAAAAGGATGAGGAGGAGTAAATAAAGCAGTGTCCACATGGATGTGAAAATAAGGAACTAATTCCAATGACAGGAAAGACTCTGTATTGAGAAGTCTTGGGAACTACTGAATTTGAGAAGGTAAGATAGAAAGAGAAAGTTTAAGGTGATCCCAAGGATTTTGTTTCAATAGCAAAAAAGGTGATGCTATGATTTGCTGAAAAACAAAACACTGTATTGGGAGGGCTGAGAGGATTTATGAACTCAGGTTTCACCATTTTAAGTTGAGTCTGAGGTCAAGACCGGTAGCCAGGTAGAACTGTTGGGTCTAAGCTGTGGTATTCTTCAGAGATGCCCGTGCTGGGCATAGAAATGTAGTAGTTAACAGTGACTAAATGGTAGTTATAGTCACAGATTTGGACAAAACCACTCTGGCAGAATGTATAAAAAATCAAAGGGAAGATCAATAGATTAAGGTGAATGTCAGGTTAATGTGTAAAATAGAAAGCTGGGTCCAAAGACTCAATCTGAAATATGTTTTCTAATTTAAAGTTTATTTATTATTTATTAACATATATCAAATTTCTCAAAATTTCTGGAAGCAAATTGATCAGGTAGTTTGTTAATGTGCTACTGTTGTATCATTTAAATACCAAAAATAATGAATAATGGCATATATTTATGATTTTATAACATCTCAAAACTATTTAAAAAATAGTAAAGACTGAGGAAAAGTTTATGATATGATTCAAGCTCAACATCAAAATTAAACCCTAAAATATTAAGGGCTCCAAGTCCTTTATTCCTTCTATATTTTAAAACATTTTTCCTTTATGTCCACTTTTTGAAGGAAATATTGTTAGAACAGTAAAGTGAAACATTTTTCTCAAGTTTGTCACACTCAAAAAACATAAAACATATGTTTACACAATGCCATTGCTTCATAAACTACTTCAAAAATTAAGTTCAAATAAATCAAAATGTCACTGGGTAAGAATTTCACCACACTGAGAAGTTTTATGATAGTTGGTACCGAATTTCTGAGTTTCGTAGTATTAAATATTCTTCCTAGTCAAGATATTTGTGGCTTAATCAACTTAACACCAGCTGGGCAAGCTGTATCATCCTTTAAGATACAAATACTTTGCAGACCCTTTCCCAGCACAGTATCAGAGCTGACTGTCAATCTGGATGTTCAAAGAAACTTAATGGAATAGATCCAAACGTAGCCAGAGAAAACTCTAGCCTTCACAATTCAGTGCTAATAAAATCAAAATTCTTAATGAAATACTCAAATCAAAAAATGGGTATCTAATTCTCTAAGGTACATCTACTTTTTGTAAGTCAGAGGTTTGGCAGTATCACCATGGTAATTAAGATTTATCTAGTCTCATAATTATAAAAAATTAAGATTTATCTAGTCTCATAATTATAAAAAATTAAGATTTATCTAGTCTCATAATTATAAAAAATTAAGATTTATCTAGTCTCATAATTATAAAAAATAGACAAAAATTTAAAATATAGTAGACAATTTCAAAGAAAAAATTGCAATTAATTACATATTTAAAACACTGTCATAGGGCTTATCAGGTATATGTAGGGGCTTCCATGTAAAGATTTCCATGTTTACCAAAAGAAGACCTTCATTGTTTCATTCTTTATCAACTAGATTTAGCTCTAAAAATCTGTCTTAACTATAGGCAAGATACATATATACAGGCTGTTTATATATAAGGCAATTTTAATAATGTAGTTCCATAAAGGGACATTTCCATAAAGGGAAATGTAGAATGTCCTCAAAGACTCTTGTGAGATATATGATAGTTATGAGGCTTGCTGATACCATGTTCAGAACTCTGATTTATGATGTTTAATGGGGCATGAGGAAGAAGACAAGAGCCCTATAAGCTTCCTCCTATAAAGAAATGATCAAAGATGGTTTGACTGCACACACAGATTCACTATAAGTCATATGCACCAGTTCGTCAATATGTTAACACTCATTAAATAAAAGGTTAACCTAGAGACTATCTAAAACATGAGAATGTGTCCTTTCACTTGGGAAGAGTATGGCCTGAAAATTTCCAGTCCCCTAAAATGTTAATATCCTGGTTATACCACAGAAACTAACACTGAAGAATAGTAATCATTTCAAATGATGGTTATTACTGAGCCTGACCCTATCAGACACTTCCTACCCAGTTGGCCAGATGGCCAAGGAGCGGCACTTGAATATAACTCACGGCCATTTCATCACACATCCAACCGATTAAAGCTGAAAATCAGGAGGTGTTTCCTAGTAGAGAGCTTAGTCTAATGCGGGACTTGATGTGGATCATGATGCTGTCTCCAGGCTGTTAGTCTCACGTACTCACATACTCCAAAATACCAATTCTAATAATCCTTTACAAAATATGCTTCCCCAATGTACCTTAGTATCTGTTATAGAACACTTTAAAGACTATAATAATGTACATTTAAATAATGATGCTGCTGAAATAATATTACTTGGGATCAACATGGAATTTAAGATATCTTAATTTTAAAATGACCTGCAACAGCAAAATAATTTTTATCACACATCACTGGATATGTTGCATGATCACCTAAAAGCACATTGTATTTTGTGGAAGTTATTTATGGCTATGCTGTTCAACTGCTCTAACTACTGGACATTATTTGCTGTTACTCAGAAGTTACATTAACTTTTCCTATTTAAAAAAAAAAAGAGTACAAACTTCAAAACTTGTCATTTTTTAAATTTTTTTTGCCACCCCACCTTGAGTTGTTGATTTGGATTTAGATTTTGTTTTTAAATGTAACTTCAAATTTAATGGCATATTTTTTTAGAAATACTCTAATTTCCTAATATAAATCTTTTACCAATAAAACTAATCCACCATGTGAATTTTCTTGTGCCATCCATCAGTGTAAACTAAATAGACTTTAAAATCATAGTTTAGCTATCTGAATTTTTAAATATTTTTAGGAATGTTTTTTAAACATGGGCTTCTGAAATGGTACTTGTTCAGAATATGCAATCTCAATATCCAATTAAAGTTGCACATTTAGGGTAAGAAGAAGATAGTAGCTTTTTTCTCCTGTTATAAAAGATGTATGAAAACATATAAGCTTGGGGCATAGACAAAACTTTATAAAACTTTACCTTTAATCCTGGGAGTTAGCTTTCCCGTTCTAAACCTCCCTTCAGCCTATCGCTTTCTACCTATGAAACAAATGAGTGCATATTCTGATATGAAAGTTTCTGCTGATATATGTTTCAATAAACCACCTTACTTGAATAAAAAAATGCAATTTCTCCATAGAGAATATAAGACATGAAGAACGTACGATGGGCATAGGTACTGCTTCTTTTTCCCCTTCCCCTTCTTTGAAGACTTCTCTTTAGAATAGGCTTCTTCAACCCACAAGGAAATTAAAATAAAAAAGGCAATTGCCAATAAAAACTTCATCTTGAAACGTTAAATTTCAGGAGATGGATCTACAAGAAAAAACAAGAAAATGTTTACATTTATGAAGCAAATCTTTACCTATAAGACTCTTTAAGGAATGTGATTGTTACTACCCAATGGACATCTGTACATCAAATCCTTATTGCTCATTCCTAAGTGGCTGTACTTCACTATATATTTTGTGATGATTTAGCAGTAAAAGTTAGTTTAAATAATGGTAAGAAATAAAAACCTAATGAAGTATAAAAGATAACCATGTGATTTTGGACTCTAGAATTACATAAAATTGTAAATTGATATTGATTTGCATAGTATATTGATCTATGTTTTGAAAAATATCTGGAAGGATGTTTAACACAGTGATAAAATGGTTATCTCATGCTGTTACATTTGGACTAATTTTTTTAAAGACTTTTTATTTATTTATCTTTAGAGGGGAAGGGAAGGAGAGAGGGAGAGAAACATCAATGTAGGGTTGCCTCTCGTGGGTCCCCTGCTGGGAACTGGCCTGCAGGGAACTGGCCTGCAACCCAGGCATGTGCCCTGACTGGGAATTGAACCGAGACTGCCTGGTTTTCAGGCCGGCGCTCAATCTACTGAGCTACATCAGCCAGGGATGTTTTGTTTTTTAAAAATTTATATTGTTTCAATTTTGCATGTGTATGTATTTTCCATAAATAACAAAACTAAATAAATTTTAATAATTTAAATTATTAAAATTGACAGGTAAAAGAAAAATTAGCATGAGTTTCACACTCTAAAATCATTGTTTTTATTTATACACACTAAATCTGTGAGTTACCTTTTACCTCCCCAAAAGAGGCACACACATTTAAATTAGCTTTTTGCCTTTCCCATTTGCTTGATACTAATGTTTATTACCATAAGATGATTTCTGACTCCAGAAATTCTAGTAACAATATATATAATAAAACAGTAAGTATGGTCAGACTCTTCCAAATAATCTTCTTAGCCATAATTTTAATAACATTTTCCATGCTGAAATGAGAATTATATTCTTCCCAGAATCTGATGCATTAAAAACAGAAAGAAAAAAAACAACAACTTTAAACCTCTGCTAATCCTGGGATATTTAAACCCCTTCTGCGTCCTTCATTTTCAACCCATTAATTGTTACTCATTCATTGTTTTCTGCAGAGAGAGGGACCTATCATATCTCTCAACATAATTCCCATCTGACCCTATAAATTTGCTTCCCCTATGTCATGTTTTTCATCTCCTTTTCTCCAGGAATTATTTTCTCAAACTTATCCTTTACACCCTAAAGCAAGCCAGGTCCTTTATAATGAAGAAAACAGAAGCTGCTTATCAGGCCAACAGCAATAGCAGGCTCTCTTCTGTCAACTTACAGCATTGGGCTCTCCCTTCCCCCATCTTACGGTGGCATCTGCCTCCAGATACCTTTGCCCACAGCAGCAGGTATTTCTCCCACCTTCACATCCCCCCGCCCAAAATACAAGGGCGGTCCTAACAGTTTGAAGGGGCAGAAATTCAACACCATGCTGTGTCTTCACCGCCGACCTTTCAAAGGGGACAGCTGCAGTGACCGAAGGATCTTCACAAACAAAAACGTCAAAAGCCCTCCCCGCCAAATTTGCGTTTTTTAATTATCTCCAGCCCTCTGCATCCCTCCATCCGAGAGTGTCTGCGGATGCCACCGCATCGGTGACCCGGCTGCAGCTCCCCCGGGCCCGCGCAGGGGAGCGCTCGTCCCCTTGCCCTGCACGCCGCAGTGCCCCTCGTGCCCCCAGCACCCCAGCCCTGACCCTGTCATTCCGCAGAGGCATTTATTCCTGTCCGCAGACAACCGCCCACCTCCGTCCTCCCCAGCCCTTCCCTCCTTGTCGAGCCCCGGACACGTACCCCAGGCGCCCCCGCCTGCAGCCGCCAGGCCAGGACGAGGCGGCACAGGCCCCAGACGGCGGTGGCTGCTGGGGGTGAGGCGGGCGCAGAGCAGGGGCAGCTGCGTCCCCCCGGCCGCGCCACCGCCGAGCTCCGCTGACGCGCCTGCTCCGGTCGCGGAGCCTGCGCCGTGGCGCCGCTGCCGGGTGTCCGAACCCGGGGCCAGCACGGCGGCGGGGACGGCGGGCCGGGTCCGGAGGAGCGAGGGATAGCGGGACGGAGAGAAGCGGGAGGGGAGGGGACGGGAAGAGGTATCCCGACGGGGCTAGAGGGACGTCACACCTTTCCCTGCAGGCACTGGGAGGGCTTTTGAGCAGAAGAAATGTAGTCTCCCCTTTTAGGGGACTACAGACGAGAGGGCAGGGGGTTGGGTAAGGACAGTGTTGGTAGAGGAGAAAAAAGCCCTTTCCATGACCTCGAATTCTTTAGGGTCACCTTGTAAACACTATTAACAACAACAAAAATAAACAACAACTAATAGAGCAAATGACCTTCTTGGACCAAAGGGGGAAACTTACAATTTCTGTAAACTCATCATTTGCCCAGACTACTGGCATCTAACCTAATCTCTGAGTTTCATTTCTAATCTCTAAAAGTCTGACGTTTCTAAGCAATCTTAAATTAGGTAAATGACTAAGGCCACATAATCCTACAGGTAGATTGTTTGAACCTTTGTTAACTAATTAACCTATGTGCAGAACTTGATAGTTTCAGAACCCTTTCGCCGCATTATCTCATTTGTCCCTCACAACATCCATTCCTGGGCAAGATTTAAGTCTTCCTTCCCATTTTGCAGATGAAGAAAATGAAGCTCAAATGTGTTTGTTAGGGGATATATTCTTGGTGTTACACATGTTGAATGTAATTTACCAGAAACTCACAGTCTGATTTTACATGTCTTAGCCACATATGACTTCCGTTTTCTCTAGCAAAGCGTTCATTGTCCTTGTTGTCAACAAAGTGGCCCTTCGCTTGGCTATGTAGCTCTTGGATAACAGACAGCTTTGCTGTTATCTCTTGACTGTGTACCTAATTGATTTTTTTTCCTGAATCGAAAAGGCATTGGTTTGGGTGAGCATCACTTAGCACTGTGCTTTGAATCTACATTTTTCAATCCATATCATGTGGGGAGGAGGAGCATTCGCTGTATAGGGTAATTGCCTGCCTCTTCTCACCAGAAGCAGGAGACACAGATGCATGTTTTGTAGACATGATGAAGTGTGTAAACACAAAACACAAGATAGCAACACAGTACACAGCTGAGTGTTGGTTGTTTACTCTCGTGGCCTTAACTGGGAGCAGCTGCTCATTGCCACTGCCCAGCATCACATGTGGGTATCGCATGGCACTGCCACCCTGGAAAAGATCAAAATTTCTAAGTATACTTGCTACTGAATGCATATTGCTTTTGCATCATTTAAGACAAAAAGTCAGAAGTCAAACCATCATAAATGGGGGACTGTCTGTATAATCATGTTCTATAAACTTTACAAGATATGCTTCTCTCTAAGATTAGTATTGGACCATTACTTTATTTAAAGAGCTATCCCTTTTCTTTGAGATTCCAAACTGGATCATGACTTTGGACGCTAAGAACATAAAAAGGAGTACTGTGTTGATCATGTAAGTTTTATAAGATGTAAGTTTTAGAGAATAGGTTATATAAAGAAGATTAAAATAAGTTTTATGGAAACACAGGAGTTTAGATGAAGAAAACCTTAAACTTCATTTGCATATAATCAAGGAATTATTAAGAGTTTGGAATTTTCTCAGAAAAATAAAAATTGACCTGCCTTTTGACCCAGCAATTCCACTGCTAGGATTATACCCCAAGAATCCTAAAACATCAATTTCAAAGAACCTATGCACCACAATGTTCATAGCAGCACAATTTACAATAGCCAAGAGTTGGAAGCAACCTAGGTGCCCATCAGTAAATGAATGGATCCAAAAATTGTGGTACATATACACCATGGAATTTTATGCAGCAGAGAGAAAGAAGGAGCTACTACCTTTTGCAACAACATGGATGGAACTGGAAAGCATTATGCTGAGTGAAATAGGCCAGGCATTGAAGGACAAATACCATATGATCTCACCTTTGACAGGAAGCTAAAGAATAAAACAAACAAGCAAACAGAATAAAAACAAAGACGCTGAAATAGAGAACAAGTGGGCAGCGACCAGAGGGGAGAGGGAAGGGAACTTAAGGGGAAAAAGGGGGAGGGATTTTGAGGAACAAGTATGAAAGACACAGAGATGAGGACTGGGGGGGGAATGGGAGGGAGGGGGGAGATGGGGGGGGGAGAGAAAAAAAATGTACTTGAAAAGTAACTAAATAAACTAAACAAAAAAAAAAAGAGTTTGGAACAATTGGGTGTTCACATTTATATGATGAAATAGACTTATGTTTTACTTCCAAAATCTTCAGGACACATTTAAAAGAACTTCTATGCTAAAAATATCTAAAAATTGACTTGTTCACTTTTCCTGCTATTATCTCTAATGATGTCACATGTAGATACTTCATTGGATAATTAGGTGAATCATAAGACAATCATGTCCACTTGTCTGGATAGGTTTGAGTTTGGTTTGGTTTTGGGTTTTTGCCCAAAGATTAAGAAATGCAGTTAATGAACTATTCTAGGCCTGTGGAACTGTGAAGTTCAGAATTTTGAATATTTGCTATGAAGATAATCTACTCACTTGTATTTATATAGCTGTTTTATACTATATCATCAATGGGGAAGCTTCCAAATAGTCTTGAAATAGTGTATTTTCCCCATTCCTGTCAAATGGTGATCTACTTTCTCTAGTTCTTCTTTATCTTACATCATGCCCTTAGTAATTTCATTCAGTCATATGGCTTTAAATACCATGTTAATGACTTCCAAATTTATTTCTCCAGACTAGACCTCTGTTCAGAACTCTAGACTCACATTACTAAGTGCCTTCTCAACATCTCTCCATGCACATTTTATAGATATTTCAAACTCAGCATTTCCAAAATGGAACTAATGTTCTTCCCAAAATCTGCTCCTTGCTCAGCACTCTTAGTTGATGGCAATCCCTTTCCTCTTGTTGCTCAGGCCAAAACTCTGGAAGTTGTTCTTGATTTCCCTTTTTCTCGCTCCCACATTCAATCTGTAAGGAAACCCTGTATATTCTCAAATTATATTCAGAACCCCACTACTTCTCACTATTTCTGCTGCGAACAACCTGGACTGCACCATTACCATTTCTAAGTTAGATGATTGTGATGGTTTCCAGGTGGCTCTCCCTGCCTCCTCCATTGCTCTCCCCATCCTCTAGCATTCTCAACACAGCAGCCACCTACCTTGAAAACATGTCACATAGCAGATTATGTCACTCTGCCCTAAACCCAGCAACCTTGTTTCACTCAGATTCTACTCTGAGCTCAAGTGCTCACAATGGTTTACATGGTCCCAATTCTTATGCCCCCCGCCCAACAACTCTGCCTTCTACCCCGCTTCTTCCTGCCCCTTGCTCTCTCTCTTCCAGCTGCACTGATCTTACTGCTTCTCCGACATCCCCACGCCAGGCAGGAACCCAACTTAGGTCATTCATTCCAGCTCTTCCCTCTGCTTAACATGCTCTCGCCCAAAGTGGCACATGCCTAACTCCCTGATGTCCCTAAGTTTTCTCTCAGATGTCACCCTCTGAAGGAGATATAATAAGTATTGTTTAAAAGAGCAAACTACCCCCCCTGCAGAAATTTCTGATCCCCTTACCTGCTTTTTCCTTTTTTCGTAGTACTTATTACCTTCTAAAATATTATACAACTTGTTCATGTACCTGTTGCCTCATTTTCCTTGCTAAAACATTTAGAAGAACAAGTATAAAGTACACAGGGACAATAACTAAGAGGGGTAGAAATGGGAGGGAGGTGGGGTGCAAGGGGGAGGGTGGGCTGGAATGGGAGAAATAAACAGAAAACTGTACTTGAAAAATAACTAAGTAAAAATTATTTAAAAAATAAATAAAGAAGAGATTTTTTTCTGTTTTTATCCATTGATGTTGTTCAAGCACTTGAAATAGTTGTTCAAGCACTTGAAGACTTGAGTAAAGCTTGGCCAAGTTACTTTATTTCTTTAATTTCATGATTTTGTATTAGTAAAATGAAAATGACAGTACATAATTTGCAGGATTGTTCTAAGAACTGAGCAGGTTGATTTATGTTAAATGTCTGGTATTAATACACAGAGGAGGGGCCATAAATAATTACCTTCCCTCTTTTAATTTTTTTCTATTTGCTAATGGAATGATAGATTTTAAATTAATAGAACCCTGATGTACATTTTTTTCTACTTTTTTCTTCCTTCATATTTATGTGGAAATATTTTGTAGGCCTGTCTCGGGGTACTCAATAGAAATCCTATTTCCCATGCACACCGACATCGCATGGTCTATAATATATTAATTTTATTTTACTTCTTCAGAAACTTAAACACCATTCTAAAATACCCTGTATTACATTAAGAAATCAATGACTTTATGAAGATAAGTGAGTCTCACCAGGTCATTTGTTCATATGATACAAGCACTTACCACCATTGCTACTCACTGCTTATATAGCTATGAAACATGTCTTAAATATATACACTTACTTCCTTTCTATGTCCTTTATTTATGCATCATGTTTATTCTTTAATGAAAGCTTGAACTGTGGTAGTCATCATGAGAGTTTTTACTAAAACTCCAGTCTATGCACTATTATAACCATCAAATATTTTTTTAAAGCTTGTCACCTCTTTTAGATGTGTTTTTTTGCAAATCATTCTATTTAAAAATATCTCAAAAATAAGTAATTGGAATATAAATAAAGAGAAAATTACAGCTGAGGATGATTAGAATAATGGGCGAGTTATTTGGCATCTGTTAAGTACTATTCATAAATTTTGAAAGACAGCAAAACTTGTATTGGGAAATGTTAATGAGTAGCCAGTCTTAATGTTCTAGAATAATGAAAATAATATTTTATACCTCAAAATCAGTTCCATATGCTTTTTAGACACAGCATAT